TACATGCCTAAATGCACTGAGTTGCCGCCATGTGATTGGCTGATTAGAAATTAAGTGTTGACGAGCAGTTGGACAGGTGTACCTAATAAAGTGGCCGGTGAATGTATAAGAAAACTGGGGCTGATCAATTGGCTGTTCAGTTTATTGGTGCACCACTAATCGCTATTTTCTCACACCCCTATTTCTTTGACTGCAAATTAGTTTGGCCGATAAGGTGACCCTACTTTATAAATATTATTTAAGAATATTATTAACAGATGTTTATAAAATTCATTTAACATATCTGCAGAGCTTCTTATCTGATTGAATCTTCTTTTTCCAGACACTTCGCTGCTTTGAGGAGGTTGTATGGAAAGCAGGTAATTATCAACCTGCTTGGTAGTAAGGAAGGGGAACACATGCTCAGCAAAGCTTTTCAGGTGAGATGTCCCTGATTTTTTTTTTTTTTTTTTTGTTACCCTGGAGGATGGAACTAAACACAGCTTTGCTGAAATAGTTGCAAGTGTGTCATTGCCTTGTGTAAACTTTTACTGAGATGAGTTCTTTCAGCTCATTCCTGTTTCTCAAGACAGAATGTGTCACTTCCTGTTTCATTTTCAGCCAAGCACTCAGGCTTATTAACACAAATATAACACATTTAAAATATTCTGCATTTTTGTGATAAAAGCTAATGATTTCTCATCTTCTCAAATTGATTTGCCTGTGTTTGTTTTTCAAAAGAGAATCTGATCCAGTGGTTTTGCATCATGAATGCAAAGTACTTTGCTTTCCTTTACGCTTTTTAAGATTTAAAACATGAACAAATATTTCTTTGTCGCTCTCAGAGTCACCTAAAGGCATCAGAGCACGCAAACGCAGTGAAGATGATTAACTTTGACTACCATCAAAATGTAAGAGGCGGTAAGGCCGATAAACTCCACAGTGTCCTGAAACCCCAGCTCAGCAAATTCGTAGATGAGTGCGGATTCTTCTACTACTCTGGTGAAACGGGTATTGTGAGGTGAGGGAAAACAATTGCATCCAGTACTTCCTCTTTTTTTCTCCCTCATTTGCTTCCTTTTTGCATTTAAAGAACCAGTATTGTAGTATTTTTATACTACAAAACCACCACGCTAGAACACCTTTCATTTCTGCCATTCATATTATTTATCYATCACATAATTAAACATCCTCATTGGAATTCAGAGTTCCCCCAAAACGCACATTTGCAAACCCTCCTTGAGTTCTACCTGTTAGATGACTGTTTTAGAGTAACAGTGGGTATACTGGTAGAAAGATGTTCCAGATGCACCTGACAAAGAAGACGTGACGTCACTCTCTTCCATAGGCAGCCCACTCCGCCATGGCGGACATCTAAACAGCCTATGGCTCATCTAAACTCCTGTACAGCTAGTTGGAAACCAGACAGTTCAAAACAGTTGAAAACAAGTGTTTTGACTGAAATCCACCTTGCTGACATAGAACTTTAGGAATGACTAACTTTTGTAAATACCTCTGTCCATAAAACCCAAATATGTGTGCTGCTTCCACAAACAAATTATCTTGACTTGAACAAGTAGAAGCCATGACTATACTGGCAAAAGCAGCTTGGAAAAACAATCGCGGTCACTCTGTTCACTACTCACGTCTGACACCTGTCGTGGTCCCTCTGACAGGGTTCCCATGGGTCCTTGAAATCCTTGAAAGTTTGTGAATTTGAAAAAAAAATTCAAGGCCCTGGAAAGTTTGTGTAAACAGCCAAAAAATTACACTTGTCCTTGAAATTCCTTGAATGTTTTTTGGGGGATTGAAATTCTCTATTCACGCGACTGATTTTCATCATCTTTTAAAAAAATAAATTATAAAATAAAATTTAAAAAACATACATTGGATAACAATGTACACAACAATGTGGATAACTCTGGATTGTTTCTGACGTAACAACTTCTATGTTGTTAAGTTTTTCATTGAATTTACATGAAATTAAACCTGTTTATTGGTAACATTCTGCGGTAGCAGTAGGTAATTGCCATTGCGCGTGTTTTTTTAATTTGAGGAAATTGGTACTGGAAAGTTCTTGAAAGGTCCTTGAATTTGATGTTGACCAAGGTGTGGGAACCCTGCTCTGATTTGGTGATGTAGTTGCAAAGGGTTAATATGATGCAGTTAGAGAGAACATTGTGAAATAGAAGAGTGTGTCGCAACCCCTGAAGAGTGATGAGCCAACAGAAGAATAAGCATGGACAGAGTCGGTTGTGTGACATAAASTACATGTTTGAGTCGTTTCCACACTGTGTGGTGATTCACAGCTTTGTCAGCAGAAACTTCCTGCCGTGTCCTGCGTAGCCCGGCATGTGCTCTGCTCGCTGTCTCATTCGGCATTATCCCGTTTTCATCCCTGTTCCTKCACAAGTTGTTTCTTTTTATAATCTGTCCCAAATAAATTCAGTGGAACACCTGTTCAGTCGAAAATCTATTTATCCTCTTGCTGAAACATCACATTTCCCCATTTAATCCTCTTGTGAAAGTGGAGTTACTTCACAAGCCTCAACTTGTTAGACTTAACTGATCTTATCATTCAAGCTAGTGCACTTTAGAGTTGTTTTGTTGCTGAAAATACCCTCTTCTTAGTGATCAACAAATGTAAAACATTCACCATTCAGTACCTTTTTGTTAAATAAATTTTGAAGCCACTTGTCTGTTTTGTAATGTCTTTTCTCATCACTATAMAAAAGCACAAATTTCAATCAATTTAACTGTTTTTCATATTACAAAAAAAAAAACAGTTTAATATGATATTTCAGCTATTTTGTGCAAACTGTTAGTGTTTTTGCTAGGTTTTCTTTTTTATTGTCTCACTGAAATAAGCTATGAGCCTGCAGGGTTTAAAGGAAATAATTCAAAAAGTACGCCACAACGTGTTTATTGTGAAATAGCTTTAGACTAATTAGTGTATGCACCTGATTTTCATGGGCTTTGAGAAAGCACCTGGATTTGTCATTTGTCATGTCTTTTCAGGACTCAGGGAGGGACCATGAGGACGAACTGTCTGGACTGTTTGGACAGAACTAACAGCGTTCAAGCCTTTTTTGCTCTTGAGGTAAGACTCCAGCTGATTATGCCAGCCGGTCGAGGCAGCTGGCCGCCTGTCCTGAGCCCGGTTCTGCTCGAGGTTTTTTCCTGTTAAAAGGGAGTTTTTCCTCTCCACTGTCGCCAACATTCTTCAGGGTGAGAGACTGTGATGAAGTGAAGATTCAACACAATCTGCTGGCTTCTTAGAATTGTTATTTTGTGTAMAGTGCCTTGAGACTTTTGTTGTGACTTAGCGCTATATAAATAAACAGAACTGAATTGAGTTATGAGTCTAAAGATTTCACAGATATGTACTGTATATCTTATTTAGTTCAAACTCCCATCCTCCTCCTCCTTTCCTGCAGATGCTGCCCAACCAGTTGGAACAAATGGGTCTGACAGAGAAGCCGCAGCTGGTGGCCAGGTTTCAGGAGGTTTTTAGGACCATGTGGTCTATGAATGGTGACTCGGTCAGTAAGATCTATGCAGGCACCGGTGCCCTGGATGGCAAAGCTAAGGTATGCAGAAAAACACACACACAAACAACAAATAATGCAGCTCACAGTACAKCGTTTATTGTAATGCTCTGCAACTTTGCTGAGCTGTCTGAGCTAAAATTTCTCTGATTCTATAAAKAACGATGTAGTTTCAGTGTCCAAATGTTGCTCCAGCATTTCTGCAGACTAATGCTACTGTAGGTTTTAAATCTGCAATGCTGTACTGCAGTGTTTACAGTATGTGGTATAGCTTAGTTCTTTTGGGTTAGTATATTAAGACTTATCTAAAACTATTTATTTTTTATTATTATCTGATCTTTAAAGTTCTTAGAGATGGGTTTGATTACAAAATATTGACTGAAAACTATTGTTAAGCTCAAGATGTACTGAGACAAGATATTATYGTTTTATTCTTGTGCATAAAACTCAAAACACTACGATAAAACATAACATTTTTTCATTTAATATCTTATTTGGATGATTGAAATTTACAAAAATTCGGAGTATCGTTCAGTCATACAGCAGCCTGACTGGAAACCAGCATGAAGCTTTTCTTGTTCCTAAATAGCCTAAACGGAGTGTTAAAATAGTTCATTTTGAATAACAGCTTTTTAAATATCTTACTCGTGCATGCTGTGTGCAGTGTAAGAATAGCTGCATGCGTAGTTGTTCTTTGTGTAGACCTGTGTGCTTCTGTTTCTAAACTCTTGTACACTGTCTCTTTTGGCTAACTTCTGGACCTCTCAACCCATGTGTGGTAAGTTTACAAGACAGTAGATGTTTTTGAGCTGTCGGGTCTATTTCTGCCGCTCTGTTTGTTTCTGTGTCTGTGGGTTACAAAGAGATGGAGTTTGGAATAATTTCAATTTGATTATTTATTCCGTGTTAAACTTGTTTTTACTTCCCTTTTAGTTGTCCTCTTAATAAACGATGACATTAAGGCTTAAAGATTTCACAACAGACTTTAAGAGATGTGTTTATAGTAGGGATGTCCTGATCAGATACTCAGTATCGGTGGCAGATATGGCCATTTTCTGAAAATCGGGTAGAATCAGATTTAGTCATGTGATCGGACCGATCCAGTTTTCGTGACAGTTTTCAGCAACGTCATGCTTTACAGCTGCCGTTAAGAAGTCAAGACGCACACAAGTATGCAGCCATGTCCACAGTGTGGGAACACTTTTCAATAGAAAACAATGATGCTGAAACTGCATCTTGCGAAATCTGCAAACTGGATGTTTCTCGTGGTGAGAACAGCAGGGCTCACTTTAATACTACCAACCTTGTCACTTGGAAAGAAATAAAAAAAGTAAAGCTATCGGATCATTATCAGATCGGTAACGGAAAGACTAATCATTAAAAAAATCGGATTGTATCTGGAGCCAAAAAATCTGGATCGGGACTTCCCTATTTATAAGAGAGACCAAGGGAAACAAAAACAACTGTGCTTATGCTTGAAATGCTTGTTTAGTTCAAGACCTCTCAGGCAACATTTGCTTTCTTTCTTGGAACTTGGAGAAATCTGTCCAGATTTTTTATCTTGTGTTAATAAAACTATGCTGCACATCAATCTCTAAAATTCTGAAGCCACACCTCATCCAGACTTTTTAATTTTAATTTTTTATTTATTATTTTGTTAGTGTTAAATCTGTGGTGATCTCTCCCCTCCCCATCCCTGCATAGGGAAAAAAACACATTTTTTAATGCTGCATCAAGTCCAGCTATTCGTTGAGCTAGTTTTCTAAAGCTGTTTTTAATGTTTATGCATTTATTGTGTCTTTTTATTTTAGGCTGGGAAGCTCAAAGATGGAGCTCGTTCTGTGACACGAACCATCCAAAACAACTTCTTYGACACTTCCAAGCAGGAGGCTATAGACATCTTGAGGCTGGGCTCCACACTTAACAGTGATTTGGCAGACAAAGCTCGGGCCTTGCTCACCACTTCTAGTCTTTATGGTAATTTTTCAACAACATAGATGAATGACATATTGTTTTTTGTAATATCAGTAAACAAATCTAATTTTGGTGCATTTTAAGCTGTACAATCTGTTTCTTTTGTAACAGCAATAAAAAGAACACCCACGAGCCATAACATTATGACCACCCACCCTTTTTGTACATTTATTTCTGCCCTGATCTTTGGGGCTCRTGTGGTAGCAATAAAAACCAAAGTACATGTTGAGATGTCTTCTACTTATTCTGAAATATTAGATTATTTAAGCTCTGTGGATTGTGGGGTTACACACCATCTTTGTGGCTGGTCTGCAGAAATATTTAAGTTGGTGTAAAATGTTAAAGGAACATCCATTTGAATGCCTAGATGCAGGTTCTGGCAAAACGGTGTGTTGGTCATATTGTGGTTCATCGGTGTACAATGCCGTTTTTGTTCTGTCTTGCGCATTGTTTGAATATTTCTCATGAGTTTAGACATGCAGCCATTGGTGTGATATCAGCCAGAAGTGACTGTGCACACACAGAGAGGTTTATCTGCCTGTTGTGAAGTGGGAGGAATAATCTGCAAGCATTGGCTGCGTCTCAGCTAAATTAATAATTATCTGTTTTCTGTTAAAGCTATGTTAACCCACGCTTTTCTTCCTTCTCTCCCCTTTGCCTTTGCAAACATTTGTAGTCACTGAGCCTGTCTTACAATCAGGTACAGTAACTGACAGACTGCCATCAGTGGACAAATATTGTTTTTTCYCTCCCTTTCATAAAGTTGTCCTCTTTCTTTGCTTTTCATTATTTATTACAGTCCAGTGTTGGTAGTGGTTTAACCCGCTGTCTGTTTTGTGTTATTAATAACAATGATTAACAGAAATTGAATAAATTGATTTGTGTTAAATCTAACAGATTTTATTGAAGCTTGACAGACAGCAGTAAACCATTACCAAGGTTTACCCTGTGAATGTTTTTACATTTTCAATAAGAGTTTTCATTTATATTTTTCCCGCCATGCTCAWTGTCTTCAAACGTTGTTGTGGACTTTTTTTTTTTTGTTTAGCTGTTCCTGTTTCTGTTTAGTTTCCCATTTCACTCTCTTTSTACAAAAGAGCGTGTTGTTTCGTTTTGCAGCCTAACCCAGCTCCTCTCCCCTCTGCAGCCTCTCCAAGAGTATTGCTGGGAATGTGTCAGAGCTACCACAAATACACAAGGCCCAAGAAAATCCGAGTGTGTGTCGGCACCTGGAATGTCAACGGGGGTAAACAGTTTCGCAGCATCGCGTTTCGGAACCAAACGCTGAACGACTGGCTGCTGGACGCTCCTAAAAAGGCAGGCCTTCCCGAGTTCCAGGGTGCGTTACGCTTTATTTGTCTGCAATTACACCTGCTTATTGTCAACACTTGGACAGTTTGTTTTATAGGGATACTCTTGTTTATTTTGTCGAAGAAGTAATTGTGTGTTTGAAAGTGTGTAAATAAGGCAATTGGTTAAAGGTTACACATGTACACAAAACATTAGACAAAATCAAATATAAATTTTAAATTTTTTTTAAAATTCCTTATTTTTGTACTGGGTGATTACTTTTGTATTTGTACTAACAACTCTAAAACCAATTCATTTACATTTCCTTTCCATTTTTTTATTTTGTCTAGGAAATACTAACATTTAAGCAAACTTACTACAACTTAATATTATAAATTTAAATAAAT